TGTAAGAATGCAAATCAAATAAACCTGAATAACTCAAAAATACTGAACCAATAATTACCCAATTTAAACTCATCCATTTCCACCCCTAGTAAAATATTTAACTAAATTTCCTGGTATTTTTAATGGTTACTTTTTGAGATATTTGACATTTACAAAAATGGACTGACTGAATATGCAGATTAAACTAATATTAGGTTAAGACCTCTGAAATCAAATAAAAACTATTTTTTTTTCTTTTTGTTCATAATATATGTTGAAACATGGGTAAAGGGAAGGATCTAACAACTGCTGAAAAACAGAAAATAATAAAGTTATTAAGTGAGGGAATGTTCATATTGGAGATATCAAAGGAGCTTTGCAGAGATCATCAAATGATAAAGAAGTCTTTTAAAAATATAAGTAAATTGAGAACTCAAAGCAAAAGAAAAGGCTTTAAGAACTTGTTTCCTTGAGATGAACATAAACTAAGGCGAATTATAGTGAAACAACCACTTTGGGCTTTGAAATGGCTGGAATTGAGGGAGTCAAGAAGACCAAAACGTGTAGAATACTTTGTGAATTGAGATCTGTAAAAAATCTCCTAGCCAACCTTCTCTCACTAAAACAAATATTTCAAAGTGTCACAATTGGGCCATGAAAATTGACTTTTCTAAAGTAATATTCACAGACAAATCTGATGGATGGGCCAAAGGATATATTTTATCCAATTCCGATGTACCTGTGGCTAAAAGAAGGCAACAAGGAAACAACAGTGTTATGATATTGACTAGAATTGTCAACCAAACCATTATTGGACCATTCAAAGTTGATGAAGGAGTTAAACTGAACATTGCTAACTATTGCAATTTTACAAACAAAACTTTCTTTGCATGGTATAAGTCCCAGTCTCACAGTTTCAAAGTGAAATATGTATTTGCATGACAATGCTCCTTCTCATGTATCTAAGCTTACCCATGAATTCTTTGAGTATTACAGATTTACAGAGAGAAGATAATGGAATGGCCACCATCAAGTCCTAATGTGAACCCAATCAAAAATCTATGGTCAATTGTGAAAATGAAATTATATGAAGGTGGCAAATAATATAACAGTTATGGGAAGTAATTAAAACTACTATGTCAGAAATTGAACCTGCTGAAGAAAAAAAAATTAACAAAATCAATGGATAATAGATTACTGGCTGTTATTGAGAAGGGTCATTATATTAAAATGTAAAAGATTCAAAGACTTATCATATTTGTTATTTTTTCCATTATAGGCGTTGATCAATTTTTGATGATTTTAGCTATGCAAAACTGCCAGGAATATGCCTTCTTACACATATTATTGTCATCATTGCTGAAACACATTATTCACTGCTTTACTATGCTCACATCTACTCCATAAATATCTAAGTAATGTTGATGAAAGCAATTTTTCCACATGTAGGAATTCAATTTTTTTAAACTTTTTCATTTCAGAAGCCAAATTGCTAGACTGCTATCTGTAACAAGGCAAAACAATTATGGATTGTTAGTGTTTAACCTTGACTGCTATCACTATAATAAAATCGATGGTATAATTTTTAGAACAATTCTATAAATAAAGGTTACAAATAATGAATATTTATGAATTAAAAAAAGTTTAGTATTTATTCTCTTTAACATTTTATATATTGAACTAATTTTTCTAATTAATCAATTTTGCATTATTATCCAGTTTCTGCTAATTAAAGTTTTAATATGTATTCAAAAAATATCTGCATAATTCAGGTTTTCAAATTTGGACATACCGAACAAGCAGCCACACATTTGTGTTTTGCATATAAACTAAAAATTTGGGACTGCAATATTATTTTAAAATTCTTTCACACTTCTAGAAACTTTATAAGAACATTCATTCTTATCCAATCATCTCTTAAATTATACACAAACCACCTCATCATTTCTATGCTCACATGCTTTAAACTCACACTAACAAAGATTTTATCATTATTTCAAATTACTTTATCCAAATCTATTATAAATCAATATAGTGTGAAATATATTGATTTATAATAAAAATCTATCGGTAATACATTGAATTTTGTGATTAATAAATCACAAAATTCAATGTATTACTGATAGATTAGTGTCAATAGAATAAAAACAATCTAAGTGTTTAATATGATCACTGAGGACTTAACAAGGTTTTAACACAGATAAATGTACAAGATTGGGCATTTAATTTTAAAGAGTTAAATAATATTAAAAATTGAACTTGCTATAAAAAGAAAAAAAAACACTATATTGTGAATTTCTTACTATTATATGGCATAAAAAGTACAGTATTACAGAGATTATTTCAAAATTGAAAGACATACAAAGACAAATAAAATACATTTTTTTGTGCGTCTCATATTCACAATCAAAATGTGCTGAGTTCTGCCTACTATAAATGTTAAGAATGTGTAGTGTACTGATCAATGCATGTAAATTGGAAAAGGAAGTTGTACTGTGGATACAAGGACTGGGGAATATACAGTAGACATCACTTGATAACAATGACAAGTGAAAGGAAACACTTAGGTTAGCACTGTGCAAATAAAATACTTACACATTCCATCAGGACCTATAAGAATAGATATAACTACAGTTTAGTATTCCCCAAAATAACTAATATCTGCTATTATAATTACATGGTATAAATTCTAATTTTTTTCTTCTTTTAAAAGCTTGTCAAAGCCCAAATTGAAAATTCTTTACAAGATAAAGTTTAATAAAATGCTGTCCACTCATCACTTGAGAATATTATATATAAACAGATAATCATTTCAATATATTGATTTTATCAACATTTTTTCAAATTTTTTAAAATTTTGAAACCATTTTGATATTTTTCCTTTATATATTTATCGATTTTAGCAAAGCAACAATTCTAATGTGATTAGATCATAAAAGCTATACACGAATAATGCAATTTATTCTTATCTGCTGAGTAAACAAGCTTTTTAACTAAAATAAGTTTCTTCATTAACTTGTCATTATACTCAATATTGAGAAATCATCATCATTTAAACAAGTAAAATATCAATTACTGGTATTTATATGACACATAAATCAATCCTCCAAACAAGAGTTGATCATGTAACAATATCTACAGTCAAAATACTTAAAGTCATCTAACAATCATACTTTATTGAATAATAGAATAAAATAAAGCTAGTCACTACAATACAATATTAATCTGTAATACCTTAGAGTTCAAATCTATATTAGATTTGTAGTCACAGGAGGAAAAAAACATATATATCTTTATCTCTAGATATAAGAATTAAATAATGGTAAATTTAATAAAAAATTTTCATTACAAATAAAAACCACTGATGTCAAGATGTCATTACAAATCGAGTTCAGGTAAGATCAATTCTGGAAACAACACCAGAAATCAAACTGAGCACCAACAGATAATCTCAGCATCTGAATAAAGTAGGAAAGAGCCGGTTGCTAGTCAAGTTAACATTGAACTGCTGAATCCTATTTAATGAAAAATCAAAGAACAATAATCAACAGCACTTAAATAACTTAAATATGTAAATTCCTTTTTCAATGTTGACAAGGAAAGCTCACTCCTTTAACTGTAATTGATTGACATTTAGACACAATTTACAAACACTTATATTTACTTAAATGAAAATTCCAGTAAATCAAAACTCAGACTGACATCATTGAGAATCTCTAAATTGGCAAAGAGGATTCAATTGTAGCTAAAATACAATTACAAAATGATTTACTGGAAATTTTTTAAGCACATAAGGATTAATTTTTGATAATTTTTTTTTTTTTTTTTTTTAAATCATCTTTGTTTATATATTTAATGATTATAAAATGTGTCCAAGCATAATAATTATTCATTTAAAATCTGAACAAAATTATAAACTACAATGATTAAATTCTTAACAAAATTTCAACTTAATTAAAATGGAGTTGAAATAGGGCTATCAGTTAAATGATTATAAATATTTATTAGTTATTTTACACAAAAGTTATTTTACATTTAAGAGGTTATATAAAAAATAAGGATTTTTTTAGTGTTAATGTATAGAAAAAGATTATTGCATTACCAAAAATCATTAAAAACCTGAACAACTACACTTTTGAGAAATAATATATGAAAGAAAAATCATATCTTGTAGGTTATGGTTTTGTGAAAGTTTTAAGATATAATTATACAAAATAACTAAAAGGCTAATCAAAAAACAAAAATCACAAAGAATAATTTGCTCTGCCAAAGAAAATATTTTTAGAACTTTTTTTAGTCTTCAGAAGTTTGTAAAATATAAAAAGTGAAAAAGATGAGAAAAATATCAATATTGTTTATTAAGTAACCAACATAGTAGTAGTACTATTTTTGACACTGTGTTTCCATGTCATATTTCGATATAAAAGCAGAAAAATTAATATTTAATTACTATTTCAGTCTGTAATTGTATGTTTAAATTCTTTAGAATAGCATAGCTTTTTCTATTATTCCTTTTAAGGGAGATCTTACCATTACTATCAATAGCTGCATTCTTTCAGCATCTATAGACAATATTGCTGCAATGACTATATAGTTATATCAAATCTTATTTTAATACATTAAGTATCTGTACTTAATGTATTAAAATAAGATGTTATATAATTAAGATTTGTTCTAGTTCCTTGTCTTTTAGTATGTATTGTCACTTAACTACTAGCTCATAAAACTAATGTAATTAAAGATTTATGAATTAAAACTTAAAAGCAAAAGCTTTTGTTTACAATTTAGAAAGGATTTTGCAAATCTAAATATTTCTAGAAATTAGTAATAATAGATTTATTTCAGTTTATAGTATATCTGCTTCTTAAAGCTTCTGATTTAAATGTCATTAAAAAATTCAAGTTATGGCTGTTTTATTCAAGTTTCCAAAGTCCAATTACTACATATATTTAAGCAGCCTATACTGTGAATTTCATTCATTCATAAATCAGATTTTAAAAAGGGAAAAGTTTACTACAAACCTTTATCCAAGAATTCGTTCCATTTTCGAGACCATTGAGACAATTGTTTGGCATAAGATTTCTCAATATCACTCCTTGTCTCAATTAACTGTCTTAAACTGTCACAGAGTTTGCTACCATTTTCTATTCGTTTCACTGTACGGTTGTATTTCCCAATCTCCCAGAAGCTCTCACTTGACTGATTGTATTCGTCCATGACAGACATGGTTAGATAGAGCACCTATTTACACCTGAAAAAAAAAAAAAAAAAAAAACAGGAGAAAAAAACATTAGTTTTGTCTTAAACACAGAGAATAAAAAAAAAAAAAAAACCAAATTTTTAAGATATTTTAAGATAGGTAACCATTATAGTTCTACATATTATAGTTCAACATAAGTTGATTCTAATAGTAATAAACTTGACAAACAAGTGGAACAAACAAAAATAGTACAACGAAGAAAAGATAAAAATAAACTGTACTCAGAAAAGGGTCTACAACACTTTAACAATTACACCTATAGACATTATCTAAAAGAATAGCAGTAATAAACAAAGAAAATTTACAAAATTACAAATTTTATTGGATAATGTTAATGCTTTAAAATCAAATTTTCCTTTTCAACAAGTTCATGAAACCAAATACACTTTACTTCTTGTCTACTACCCAAGTACAATGTTTATATCATGAAAAGTTTATTGGAAATAAAATTGTTAAAGAAAATCTTGAGAAAATACTGCAGTTAAATGGAAGTTTTATTGGAAATATAGTGTTGTTTTTGTGTTTTTAATTATGAATACAAATTACAATCAACTCAAAATATTATTTATTTCGATTACTAAATTCATAATATATAAAGATACTGAAATGTTCTCAATCAAACAGAAATAGAAAAATCATTTGGTATACATACCCATACAACCAAATGGTAAAAAATACATTAGGACAAAAATTCCTTGCATTAATCAATAAACATTTTCCTAGAGACAGTAAACTCAGTACAATTTTTAATAAAAATACCCTAAAATTAAATTACAGTTGTACTGAAAACTTAGAAATGATTAAGAAACATAATGCTAATATCTTGAGTAACAGACAAAAATAAAAAAAATATAAATCCTAAAATAAAATAAAAATGAAGATAAGGAAAAATTATGTAACTGTAGAAATCCACAAAACTGCTTCCAATATTTTGAAGGTTTAAAAAAATTAATAATAAATGTTGAATAGAATCATTCATTTATCAATGCAATATTTAATCTATTGAAGATCCAGACATAGTTAAAATCTACATTGGATGCACAAAGCATGAATTCAAAAGATGTTGGAACGAACATCAAATGTCCTTTAAAAATAATAAATACAGAAATCAAACGTCCATATCTAAATATTTCTGGCACTTAAAAGAAACCAATAAAACACTAACACTAAAATGGAAATTAATAAGGTGAGCTAGAGCTTGTAGGCCACAAATGACCCATATCCTTTGTGCATACATGAAAAATTATACATTATTAAGTTTCTGAAAAAGAAAAATTTACTTAATCAAAGAAATGAAATAGCTATTTTTTGCAGACACTGTCAAATATTTTCCTTAAATAATGATTAATTTTGAAAAAGGGATGAAAGATAAAACATACATATTTATACTTGATCTTTGATTAATAATATTTTTTTAAATATGAATATAATTCTAATATATTTATTTGTAAAAATTAACATATAACCTATTAGTTATTAGAAGTAGGAACAGTACTTCAAATTTGTAGGAATAGATTTTAAATTTTAAAAATACAACTTACTCATATTCAGATGACCCCTTCAAGAAATCTTTGTGTATAAAATTATAAATTAAGCAGATAAATAAAAATGCCAAAAATTTTTATTATTGAAAAACCCAGACAACACGCAAAAAATGGATGTCATTGTTTGTGAGCAGGCACCCCTAACCCACCTTAACATAATTTTGAAAGTAACCTATATTTGACGCATAAGTTGTCTAGGGAAATTAAAACTCAACCACCCCACATGAAAATAATTGAATTTTCCGTAACTGTAACAACTTAAAATATTAAGATGGTCTGTGCTTATAAATTAAGTAAATTTTTTAATAGGTTATTCCAAAAATTGCTTGAGAATGGAAAGAAGCTATAGATTTTACATTTAATTTTATGATTAAATTTAAAATTTTAGTTTCTGTTTTGAAACATGGTAATTCCTGTGTAGCAATGGAACCATATTTTAAAATAGAAAATAATTATTATATATTTTCACACACACACACATATATATATATATATATATATATATATATATATATATATATATATATATATATATATATATGTGTGTGTGAAAAAATCTATTTTAACAATCCTGAGGAGCCTAGTCTCTCAATTCTCTATAACCTTCAGTTTGAACATATTTGGTGCACACAGTCCTGTTCTGCTTCTAATCTGGTCTGAGAGATGGTTATTATTGTGGTACTTCAAAATCTTATGGTAGCAGTATCACATCTGCAAACTCATTTGCATTTTTCACACAAAATTGTTCATTCTGTGCAAGATCCTGTCAAATATTTATCTTGTGATTATACCAAAATATTTTATATATATATATATATATATATAAAATATTTTGGTATAATCACAAGCGTTAGAAATAATTTTTTTAAACCTTCAAAATATCTCCCTTATAGAATAAAAAAAAAGAAGCAAAAACAAAAAAAATAAAATGAATAGAATTAAGAGGCCAGATATTTTTTGAAGTATCACTTGGAATTCATTTTTCTTTCCAGCAAAAGGTTATCATAAATGAGGAAAAAAATAAGCTGCAAATAGCATCAAGCTATACCTAAAGAGACATTGTACAAAAATACTGCATGTCAAAAATATAAAATAAAGTAAATATTTGACTTTCAAATGATAGATACTTGAACAAATCATAAAAATAATATTTAAAGCAAAGTTATTTCAAACATTTGGGGAATGCCACATTACTTGGTTACTAGTTTTACTAGTTCAGAAATACATGTCATTAAAAATAGGGAACTAACTACTATGGGACACTGATCAAAGTCAAGTTATTAGCTATAATGATTGGACATGCTATCAGTTCTAATCAATATTTATGCCAGCAAAAAGTTGCAAATTTTCAAAAATATACAAACATCCTAAGTTTTTTTTTTTTTTTTAAGCATTTCACCCCAAGCAAGGCGGGGAGCCACTAGGACGCAAGGGGTTACAGAAAATAGGAAGATCAGATAGGAGTGATAGAAGAAAGGATGAGGGTAGTAGATAGATTAAGGCAACTGGAGATGTCGATTGACATTACACTTGAATAGCTGGAGATTATAACTCTCAGGGAAACAGGAGAAGGGAAGAGAGTTCCACAGGCGAGAGGGTGCGAGACATGAAGCTATTAGAGTAGAAGAGACGGCTACATTTATGAGTTTCTCGACAGTGAAGGGGTGAGAGCGGGATGCCAGCCTCAGAGGGCGCTTGAACTCATGAAGTTTGGGAACCAGCTAATGCAGTTCCTCGGAGCAATTTCCATGAAAGTATTTGTAGAACAGACAGAGGGAGGCGACGGTGCGCCTGTGAGAAAGTGACTGTAGACGAGACGCCAGGGTAGGGCCAACCATATTACATATCCGCTTCTGGAGCCTATCAAGAACCCCGAGGCAAACAGAAGGGGTGCCAGACCATATATGGCAGCAATACTCCATGCAAGGGCTTAATTGTGGATTTGTATATCTGGAGGATCGACTCAGGGAGAAAAACTTCCTAGCACGGCTCAGGGAGCCAACTTTCCTCGCAGTGGACGAGGCAATTGACTCGATGTATTTATTCCATCTCAGGTCAGCAGTCAACGTGAGACCGAGAAGCCGCAGAGAGTTGCTCTCGGAAGTTGAGCGTCAGACATTATAATGGAGGGAAGGGAAGGCTCTGTGGTGATTAATAGAGAGCAGTTTAGTCTTCGAAGCGCAGAAGGACCAGCCAAATCATGCCCCAGTTCACAATCGATTGGAGGTCCTTTTCGAGGCGCACGGCAAGGTGAGTTTTGTCAGCGAGACTGGATTTGTTTTTGAGGCAGGAATAAATTGTGGTGTCATCCACGTAGATGCCGACTTGAGAAGTTACGGCGTCAGGAAGGTCATTTATATAGATAAGGAATAGAGTGGGGCCTAGGATGGAGCCTTGAGGAACTCCTGCGTTCGTGGGGTAGGAACTGGAGGAGAATCCGTTGAACGACCTTCAATTCACGGTTTGACAGGAATGATTACGTTATATAATTGACCCGTAATGCCATAACCCTGATCTTGCGGAGAAGGCCGGCGTGCCAAACCCTATCAAATGCTTTGAGATATCTAGTGCCACGGCTCGGGCTTCCCGTTATTTTGGAGAGTTCGGTAGACTGTTTCCGTGATGGCTGTGAGCACATCGGCTGTAGATCTGGCAAAAGCGAAACCATATTGCTTGTCTGAGAGCAGATTATTGGATGTGAGGTGGTTAACCACCCCGGTATTGATTAGAGCTTCGAAGATTTTGCCGAAGAGGGGAAGTGCATCAATTTTTCAAATATACTTTTGCTATAATATGCAACTGACAACTTATGAACAGTAGTAAAATAATCACTGTCTCAAGAAAGGGAGTTATATTTAAAAGAACAAAAAAAAAACAGCAGCTGATATTCTATTTTTTAAATGACAGATTATTACTTAAATAAAATAAAAATTAAATAAAATAAAAATTAAAAAAAAAAAAATTAAAAAAAAAAAAATCAAGCAATAAAATTAGAAAAATGTTTGAGCTCAGTTTGCTTTCCATAAAATCAATTAGCACATATACATAATTAACTTACCGACACTACTTGCTCACCAGCATCATTTAGAAAAAGCCAAAAATAAAACAAATGTACAAATACTTGTGAGCCAAATTCAGAAATCAAGCATTATCTTTGTCTCCTTACTCAAATTATCCCCACCCTTTCATATATAAAACTACACATCCAGTTAATGATCACATGGTGGAGCTGAACAGTTTTCTACATTTAAAAAACATAAAATCTGATATTTGCTCAGATTTTATGAAGTGGATTGGACTAAAACTTTTCAGCACCTCCTTGTAAATGGTTTGGTATTTAAAATGCTTTTGTTTACAATATTGATATTAGAACAATTAAAATAATTTCTAAGAGATTCTTGTGCAGTTCAGTACAATGATAATGAATGAACAAGTAAAACAAAAAAT